CACGGGTTTTTATTAATTCATTGTCCTGCGGCGAGAGCAACTCGTCTTAGGATTCTGACAACCATGTTAGGCCGGGTCTTGAGCCAATTGCTTCTGCTTCCTTTCTAGTGACCGTAACGCTTTGAATACAACGAAGAGGCACAGAGTTTGTGGGACAGCCGACTAAGAGTAAGATAGAGTATTATAACACAACTTGGCTGTCAGGCTATGCAGCGCACGTCTGATTCATGAAAATATTCGAACTCCTAAAGCAGTTGATAACGGTTGACACTTAAATTTGTCTTTAAATTATTGAAATTATCACCAATTACCTGTCCAGAAGCAGTTTATCACATGTTAATTAATAGTGTGTTACGCTTGTTTCAGGTAGAATGTAATAATCTTCTGTCACTTACTATTTCAAATTTTCAGTAATTTCTGTATAAATTTCCAGTGACAATTCAGAATGAACGCCGAGTGGTAAAGTGTTTCCATTCGACCATTACAAAAGTTTATTTTCCGACATTACATACACTGCTTGTCTGTTCTTCATCAAATATTTATTCGACACATGCATTTCTTAACGTATTAGTAACCATGGTGCAGGCGCCCTAACAGTTTGCAAACAATCTGTGCTCTGTCGTAAACTACCCATAGCCAAGATTGCCATAGGCAACAATCCCGACTCAGCAATCTTGAGTACTCGGATTGTTTTGGTATATTATACAGTATTTTATGGTAACAATACCAACGAGACAGTGCAGTATCCTTAAGTTGACTTTTATAAGATTGTGGGTCAAACCTTCTTTCAGGTGCTCGGGACTCGTCGTTTGATGCACATGCCGTACGAGGAATTCGAACGCGTGATGACGTCCTGTTTTGAGGTCTTCAGTACTTGGGAAGATGAGTACGAGAAGCTGCAAGGTCTGATGCGCGAAATTGGCAAGAAGAAGCGTGAAGAGCAGGTGCGTATGATTTGGCGAACCACATTCGCCCACAAGCAACTACAAAGTCGTCTCGACCACCTACGAAAGTAAGTGCTGTTTGTTTTTCTTGTTGCTTAAAACCGCATACTTTTAATAATTAGTCAGTTCATTTCATTACGCCATGACAGTCCAACCCCTTCTAAGTGAATGTAAATGCCGTTACCGTTGATGGTGGCAGCTGCATCCAAACACATCTTATAGTCGCCAAATCCAAAATTGTCGTGTGTGAATGATTCGCTCTTTATATAAACGTAATAGCCGATTAGTAAATCCCAAAAGCTTTTACTTTCATGCGCAAACTTTATAAATTCTTCTCGACTGATTAATTTCGTCCTAAGTAAGATAAAAGCACAAGTCCAGACTGAAACGTCGCGTCATATCACTTCGTGCCTTCCATATCCGCGGCTCCCTATCGTGGTGGCAGGCCGGCTTTGGCGAGTGAATACTTGTACCGATTTAATAAAGAACTCGGCCAATTAGCCGGAGTCGAACCTCTTTAGTGCCTTTTCGCTTGGTAGTTCGTGATTTTACCATTTGTGCCGTGTAACACGTTGCGACCTGACTCAGTGACTTCTATCAAATGTCCCTGAATCCTGTGTCCGTTTTCTATTGACGTTTTTTTTTAACCTTTTCCTTGATCGTTAGCATATTATCAACCAACTGAACCAAATCCTTATAACACAGTAGATCCGCTCTTGCCTGAGCCTTAAGCCAGCCTATAACTCCGTTACCGTTCCCGTTTTCATTAATCTGTTTCGTTTTTGTTTAGTTTGTTGCACAGTTCGTGGTTCTTCCATAGATTTTGCAAATTATCTTCCTTCTTCGTTTAAAGGCTTTGGTATCAGCACGAACAACTACGACTGGTTATTGTTAGAGTGAGACCAACAACTCGGTCCACCACTTTGCCTGAGGCGGAGGATGCTACTGTGAAGAACGAACAGGTAGGGGACATTGAAAACCACCACGACCGTGAAGAACCCGTCCTTGACGCCGCAGACGCCAATGCCATTGACGACGTGAATATGGCCTTCGAGCTGGTCAAAGAAGTGGACTGTCTTGATCTCAGCAAAGAAGGCACCGATGTATGGGAGGCCACAATCAAACGGTAATTGAAATACCGCCGGCGGTGGGGAATTTTTGTGTCCCTTTCTCTCTGTCCTAGAACCTAATCCCTCACTCCTCCGCTCCCTTTTAGCTATGACGAGCGGATCGACCGAGTGGAGACACGCATTGCCGCCAGACTGCGTGATCTGCTGGGCACAGCAAAAAGTGCCAACGAGATGTTCCGCTACTTCTCCCGATTTAATGCCCTCTTCGTTCGGCCGCACATTCGCGGCGCCATTCGGGAGTACCAGACTCAGCTGATTAAACGCGTGAAAGACGACATCGAGGCTCTTCACAATAAGTTCAAGATGCAGTACCGCTCGAGCAAGGCCTATCACATCAGTAAAGAGCGGGACATACCGCCGGTGGCTGGATCAATTATATGGGCCCGCCAGATCGAAGAAAAGTTGAATACCTACTTACGGCGAGTGGAGGATGTTCTTGGTAAGCGGTTCGAGGTCCTTAATGTTTATGTCACTTTATAACACTAAGCACAGTAAGTAGGGCATTTTTTTGACAATAATTGGGACATTATGCTATAGAAGTGCTTCTCTCCCCCTTTTTTTCATGGCACAGGCATGGTGTCTCCAGAAGGCATATTCTGTATGTTGGGAAAGGCATAGATCTTTTTCGAAACCGAGTTTGACGATGGTAAACATTTAAAAAAATCGAATAGTAACCCGCCTTATCAGTTGCTCTGTCGGCTACGGCAGCGCCTGTTGCCTGTGTCTGATCCCGCCTCTTGACTCTGTCTTGAAATCGGGCGCAGGGAAGTGAGTCCACTTTTACTTGAAACTAATCCGCACGTAAGTAATCGTCTTTGCACTACCAGGCTGTGGAGCACACAGTTGATTTCGTCAGAATCAACGTCGAATTTAAAAAAAACTATTGGGACTTCCATTTGGCGATATCTCCAAAGGCATCAAGACTGTAAGCGTGATCCAAGCCTAATTTGTTAATCACTGACAGTCAGGAGGTCAATACTATGTCTACGATTTTATGCAGATCTCTTGAATCCTCTCCTCTTCTCTCTATCAGGCAAGGGCTGGGAGCATCATCGCGAGGGCCAGATACTTAAGGCCGATGGCGACAGCTTCAAGTCCAAATTAAATACCAGCGAAATTTTTGAAGACTGGTGTCGCAAAGTCCAATCGAAACCCATTAACATCAGTGGCCGCATATTCTCCATCGAACCGGTCCGCGCAAAGGTCACCAACAAGGAGGGCGAGACACAGACGGTGACTCTGATGAAACTCAACGTCACCTTCATGCTCGACGTGATTACTCTCGCCAAGGAGGTACAGTCAGCTGCCTGTCTGATGAAATTTCATTAATTTAGCAATGTTGTGCACAACCAGCCCATGCTGCGTCCTCCAGAGTCTTACAACAGTAAACGACACGGCTGTTCTTGAAGAGAAGGCATATTGTGGTCTATAAATTACTATTTACTAACATAAAATAATTACTTTTCACTGACAACTCGAATTTAAGATAACGGCCA